AAACGAAAATGGAGGCAAAGAGCACAAACGTATTTATTATTTCCTGTTTTCATTGACAGGTTAACTTGAAGGCACATTAGTGCACGTGTGTATGAACGTATTTATCATGGTACCCCAAGTGTAATGTGGTGTCCAATCACCACCCCCCCACAACCTAAGCCCCCTCTAGGTTTTTGACTTTCCACTGCTAGGCTATTTTCCCCACTCCCTGACAACAGTTTTACGTCCCTGGATATTGTGTTTGTTTTCTGTGCAGTGAAGAACATTGATCCATGCACAACAGAAAAGGAATGTTGTTCCAACAAAAATATAATTATATTTGCATAGCGTTATTTGCCAGATGGGGTGGAGTAAGTAAACACCGACTTTATAAAAATATCTTTCCACACCGAGTGTTTGTGTGTTTGTTGTCTCTAGTATTTGGCCGTTCTGTTGTCTTCCGTTGAAGTCTTTTAAAAATATTGTGGATTTTTTGCAACTTTAAATAAGCCTCGATAGTTTGGATTTTATTATAGGTTTTCCCGCCCAACTTTTTAAAATTGGCGCTCCAATTAATGTCTGGCTCATTCAATTTAGCGCAAACTTGATTGATGATCGAGATCAACATTCAATCAGCCCAAATAATCATTCAATTTAACTTTAACTCCATGAGCACGCGATTGCAAAATCCTGTTAAACAGCAAAGTTTGAGTCGCTATTCAGTTTCGGAAACCCCAAAAACAGAAGTCAAATTCGCACAATCATTCTGTGGTACTTGTAATAGGCATGCGATTTCGTGAATAGGCAAGCATTTCTGACATCTGTGCAATGTTTTTCATCGAAGTCTAATTTACAAATTTGAAATGTTTTATGCTTGACTAATTTATTCAAATTCCATCATGAAGAAGAGGGGTTTCACTCGCAGAAAAAAAATCTCTCTCAGTACACTAATATCACCTTGATGGGAGAACCTCTTGTCTACAATGTACGTATTTACTTCTACTTAAAACGAGAAAAAGAAATTATCAAGTTCTTCTTATCTGGTTCAATGATTGTTAAAACAATGACCAAATACTCAATCTTTTCAGCAGTAATCTTGTAATTTGTATTTTTCCTGCTTGAAAATTTATAAAAAGAAAGAACAAAATTGGTTTCGTGTAATCCGAAAAGTATACAAGTATACGTTAAATGAAAAGGTTGGGGATAATAAAGATCCAGGGCAAATATCGCCAGCGATCAAGATGTCTCTGGAACTGTACATGTACCATAATTATACAGAAACTCTATCTTTTCTCCAATACTTGGGGTATGTATTCTTTGAAAAGCTAACATTGTGAATATGAGTGCCCATTGACGGATATGAAAGTAAAAGTTTGGTAGGAATCCACCTCCCAGTCAACCAGGGCGAAATTGAGTGACGCTTGTGCATCGTGACATTGAATGATACTCTTACTAAACTGAATCCTTGAAAGTGCATGATTGGACGTCCACAAACGAAACTGAATGCGCAAAGTTTCGAAAATCAACCATGGGAGTAACGGGCTCCGAGAAATCGCTCGAAGGTCAATGCACTTTCATGAATTTGGATGCTGTTTTAACTAATTCGGCCGGGAAAACCTATATTACCGAAAATGGGTCACTTGGGAGACATTCCCATAGGAACGTGCACAAACTTTACTGTAATTAAGTATTCCCTAATATGATCTGAACCAATCTTTGTACGTTTTCAATTTAGACTCTAATCTATCATCTCTCAAAATTTGGACAGTAAAATTCTGCCTCCTTCTGATAGTTGGAGCATTAAGGAGACATTGAAATGTCTCCCTAATGACCGATGTCTCCCTAAGGTTGAAAAATGTACCACAAAATGTCTCCCTAAAGACCCATTTGTAAGAATTATAGTTTGTAGCATGACAGACTGTATTGATCTTATTGAAAAATATGTATTATTAAAAATGTGGCACCTAGCTCAAAAACTTCACACTGACAATGACGTGAGGAAGTATTTCACTGCATCACCAAGGTTGCTTACTAACCCAATTTGATAAAAGTGGTCTTAACTTATTCTTAACAGATTTGGCCACATACGACTCATCTAAACATTTCATACTCAGGCATACCAGTCTCTCTGACAACTGGGTTACGCATAGTCTGGCAAGGTATGCTCTTCTCAAATTGTTCTGTGTAATTTAATTGAAATTTCCAACCATCGTCACTTTGTGTTTTGGTTTCAGCCATGACTACTTCCATCTCAAAAAAAATTCTGTTTTGTATTGCTGAATCTTGTGCTTCAAATCTTATTTGATACTCGAAAGGAATTTACAGCTTTCCTTTCCACATAAGATGTCCACTGCATGCTAAAAAAGAGCGCCCCTTTTTTTCCACGTGGCACTCACTGCAAATGTATCAATTCAAACAGACTTCACTGGGGGCACACCCTTGTCCCAGGCATGCTTGAAAAGGGTGGTGGGGAGGGCTTGAGTGTTGACTGTAATTGACCACGGAGGTGGTGTGGTACCATGTCAGACAGTTGGACATCTTGCATACAGTACTGAGGATGGTGAAGAGCATAAGGACAAGAAATGAAACCGTTGAAGATTTTCCACAAACGTCCAACGTGGAATTGTGACACAAATCTTTATTTCAGCGTGAATATGATCATTGCATTTCTGGTATTGATTTGTGTTTTCCGTAGTTGCTGTTCTGGTCTGGTGGCCGCCTCTCTGAGTACACCAGCTGATGTGATTAAAACACGGGTCATGAACCAGCCTACTGATGCGAGTGGGCGGGGCTTGTTGTACAAATCTTCCTTGGATTGCTTACTCAAGTGTGTGCGCAATGAGGGATTTTGGACGCTGTATAAAGGTTTCTTCCCCATCTGGGCCAGAATGGTGCGTTAAGTTCATTGCACTTTCCTGTCATCACAAAAGCAGAGAAATTATCATTCGAACATCTTCTAACCGTGTACCTTGATTACTTCTGAGAGTGTGCCTGGTTAAATTAAGCTGAAATGAAGATTGTAACCAGTCTCATTTCTTATACTGATACTTGGAAGAAAAGATTGTGTTAGAAACTTTGTTTTATGGAAGTAGGAGAATGTGATATTCTGCATTCATCCGCTGTGATCCTGGCGGAAATGGCAGGTTGACAGCTAGGGATGCCCAAGCAATGTTCATACCACATTACACCCTCTGTAATTCATGTGCACATTTGTTTCTGTATGCGATCTTGATGAGTTATTCACTGTAGCTTGCATGCACAATGAGACATTATCGACACGCCTCCATAAACAAACATGAAAACTTTGGGGTTTCACGTAAACCAGACAATGAAAGTCAGTAAACTTAAGAATCCCCTAAACAATGGACGTCATGTCAGTGCATGTATCAGGTTTAATGGGCCTCTGTACTGACGACACCACACTTTGTTTACGTGTGTGCTTTCCTCAGGGGCTTAGTGGAGCATTGGCCCCCATTCAGTTCAGAGGCTTATGTAGAGTGGGCATTGGGATAATGAACATGGTTGACGGAAGAAATTGTGACAAAAGGGCTTCTGTACTTTATTTTCCCCAGGCTCCCTGGTCTCTGACCTTCTGGGTCTCATACGAAGAGGTCAGGCGCCTGACAGGGGTAAATTCCTTCTGATTGTTGACGAACCCAACAAGCACTTTTGAGTTTTCCCAGTGAAACCCAGGAGTATGCCCACCATTGTCTATTGGCTGTCACCCCTACCCTTTGACTGAATGCAGACAGAAGCTCACACTGGCGAAATGAAAGCAGACATTGAGGGGTAAGGTTGTAGGCAGTCCACAAGCAGTGTTACATTGTGGTGGTATGTGCACCCAAGGTTGTGAAGGTGAACTGTAAATACAGAAACCCCAACTTGAACTTGTTTTTACAAAGGGACGAGGTGAAATGATGAAAAGATGGCAGTCACTCAAACAATCGGGTTTGTGACTGCTTGGTTGCACGTGCACATGCTCTACTGCGCTAACCTTACATACCTAGTGTGGACTTGTGAACAAAAGATGTCCACACGACGCAGGAAAGGAAGACGTTCTGTGGACTTACAAATGTCCACAGGATGTTTCCCCTTCTCTGAAAAAGAAGTTTAGAGGCATTTTGGGGTAGGGGTCATCTGTCGTAAAAGGAAGAGGAATAGTCAAGGAAACCTTGTACAAAAAGCCAGCGGAAAATTGTGTCCCCAGTTCAAGAAAAATGAGTATTTTCACTGAGTTTTCTTAACTGCACGAAAAGAAAGGAATGTCCACAGTTGGTTTGTAAGGTAATTGTGGGTGATTCTGTGTGTGTGTTGGTAAACAAGTCAGCTTTGTACTACACTTTGTACTACACACTACTGCAGAAGTGGGCGTGGTTATATGTTCTGCTGATGTCATCAACAGGGCAGTGATGAGCAGTTTCAGTGGTTAGAAGGATGATTATGCAAGTATGCCTGATGGTAGTAAACAAATACCGCCCTCTGGTGTTGACTTAATATGGCATGCAGTCACTGCTTAGTTGCGACACCCACAGCGTAGCCTGTACATGTAGATCCTGAATGTAACGGGGCAACTCAGTTTGTGTAAACCACTGACATGGCTTGTCAACACTCTCCTTACGTCCAGCAGCTGAAATGTTCATGTTCCCCAAACCAGGCTGCACCTCCTATAATTGAACTTGTGCTGTACTTGTCGGGCGCTGTTGGGGAATCAAAATGTTGGGGGTGGGAGGATGACAGAACATCAGTGTTGTATTGGAGTCCATCACATCTTATTCAGTCCTAAGCCAATTCACAAGCTATTCGAATGAACTGTGACAAAAGCATTCTTTTTTCATTGTTCACCCTGTTACTTATGGCTGGCCTTGTGACTGGACTTGTGATGGAATCGAATACAACACTGCAAAACATATGGGAGTATAATTGTATGAGAACAGTCCCTTGGGTTTTAGTAATTTTAGACATGGCAATAGACCAGTTGCACCCTCTAAGTCAGATGACCTATAGTGGGTATAAAAATCAACATGGCTTCCTCCCATAGCAATGCGTGTTTAAGTGTTTTTGATACCAAAAGTAAAGCTGTTTTGGGGCATAGCACTCAGCACATCAGTAGTCACAGTACTTTACCCACTGTTAGCTTTATTTTGGTAAATGACACTTAAGACGCCCATGTTTGTTGATGTTTCATACCCACTATAAGTCATGTGACTTACTGGCCTCAATTGGTCTATTTTTAAGACAGTTTTAGGGAACACAATGTTCTCATTAAAAACTCTTCATTTGTGGATTCAAGTCAGGATTATGAGAGATAAGCCTCTACTGGCCTCCTATAGAACGGCCCCCACTCAACTTGGCTTACTTTTGTCGTGGAGATTGAGTTTCCAATCTGTTTACCTTTTAACAGTACAAGTTTGTACCCACTGGTTCAGGTGATTCTGAATTGATTGGTTTTTATGTGAAAATGTGAATCTCCAGTTTTGGAAAGTGTAAGGATAATTACAAATTATATGTGAAATATACAGATGCGGCCTTGGTGAATAAGAACAAATCTTCACTAATAATTGAAGATTATACTGAACATGTTCAAGTACACAAAAAGTTCTATTTATTGTACATCAATCTGATATCTGTTGTTTGTAGCAATTATATAAATGTAATTATATGGATGAGATGAAAAAAACTGGTTGAATTTCAACCCATTTTATTTCTGTACATTGGAATTGTGGTATTTAAATTTGTAAATAAGAGTGAACTGTTGAAATCTAAATGCAGACAACAGCGATAAAATGTTTGCCCTGAAAAAGTTGTCTAATTCATGATTTTACTCAATACGGCAAATACATGCTTGTGTATGAAGAAAAGCTACATTTTTTTGGCTAGTCTCCCAGGGGGAAGAGCTGCAGTTTAGAAATGTTCAAAAACCTTGTCGTAGTTTACATGAAAATGATGCAATAGATTTTTTTCATTCTACAAAAAAAGCATATGCCCTAAGAACATTTTGACAGTTTTCCTTATAATTTGACTGCCCTGTGGGTATGATTCCCTTGTGGAGAATAGAGAAAAAGATCACTGAGTTTTTCTCTTAAGCTGTGAGAGATATGGAAAGCCCGGTTACTTTGGCTTTCTTTGTCGACTTGACTGAAGATGATGTCTTTCCCAGTCTCCTCTTGGCAGTGTTGGGCGAGTTTTTAGGGGTCTTTGTTTTTGAGGTCCTTTTATCCTTGCTCCTGGTTCTAACTGCAATCCCTCCTTCTTCTTCATGGTCACTGGGTCCCTCATCCGTCGTGCCATCACTTCCCATCAAATCCATCTTTAGAGTTTTGAGTGTCTTCTTTTGGCTCCGGAGGAGTTTAGGTGTCAGTTTCGGTGAGTTCACTGTGTCTGTGTCACCTCCGCTCCGAGTACTGTTTCGCTTTGGGGTTTTCTCTCTCTCAGTTTTTTGTTTCTTCGTTGTGTTTGGAGCACCTGCTCTTTCTGCAGTATGATCATCATTTGCATCAATGTTGTTAGCGACTTCTGTCACCTGCCTGTCATCACTGTCTTCTTCATCCCCATCAATGATGTGATCTGCATCTGCACCTGTCATGCCCTCTGACCTCTGACCAAGGCTGTTCACTCCTGGGACACTCGTACCCAGCACAGCTGGTGTTGTATCTATGATGAATGAAGGACTGCTCTCTGCTAACTCGGGGCTATTCTCTGTGCCAATGCTGAAAGGTTACCATACATGGTGTCTACAATTTTAAGCTATTTCAAAAAATGGACCTCAGAATAGAAGTGGTATTAACACACTGTAGAAAGCTTGACTGTGTCTTTGAAATGTCTCTAAAACTGCAGAATTCTTTTTAGACAGGAAGTAAATGAAAAGAATTCAATTCTCACCTAGCCTCCACAGGCCCAGTGGCTCGACGCATCCGCTGCCAGGTGTACTCCACAAACATGGCTTGCTGTAGAAGACGATTCATCCGCTCAAAGTGACGTTCTGTCAAATAAGAGGCACTAGATGGAGTCATGGAACATATTGCAAACAGACATGGTGGCAGGTTAAATTGCAAGCCTGAGGGAACTGAGAAGCCTCATAAAAACTGAGAATTTAAAACTTCATCCAATAAATCACATCTTTGACTGATAGAAAGCACTGAATTATGCCATTTTGGATGTACAGACACTGATTAAGCATGCACCTACAATGAAAGAAATTCGTTTGTGACACATTTTTTAAATCACTGATCCAACTGTTTTACCAGATGACCAGCGAACTCCCTCTTCACTAGCTTACCTGTGTAAGGGATCAGTCCTTCTAACGTCTCTTGCATGGTGCTGAAGGTCATGAGGTCATCCGGGGTGACGTGTCTGAGGATGACTGCGATGACCGTCTGCGCCGTGTGGCAGTGTTTGGAGTTGGTGTTCCAGTGTTTGCAGAAACCCAGCACTGACTCTGTACATGTAGAGAACTTAAATGTTCACTGCCATGGCTCAAGTCCTTGAACATGACTGCCATTACCTTAGAAAGATGTCAGTGGTCAAGTTTGATTCAAAGGGGAGGCCAAGCTTTGTTGAACAAAAGCCACTGTAGGGTAGGGACGAAACTTATCAGAAACTCTGATCCTATCAAAAGCACTGCAGAAATGCTAATTTTACTATACTAACAACCAAATAAATTGATCTGTGGAGCAAAATGAAAAAAAAAATGGATGGAACAGGATCTGAATCGCCAGAATTCTGTACAAGTGCTCTACTGAGCTACTTCACTATGTGGTGGCGTTCCACTTTATTCAAATCTTTGTGCACAATTATCATGCCAGCCAAAAGGCATGGAAGGCATGCAAACAGCCAAGGGAAAAAAAGACTTTGGGCGGATTCAGGGTTGAAAGTTTTCTTCTTGACGTAGCCCCCCTCACCTATTTGATCTTGCCTCATTCTCTTCATTGTCTTCTCCAGCTTCTTCTCACCATCCGACTCATCCAGAAGGTCTATCAAGTAGCGAGCATAAAAGAGAATTTCAAAACCAGCCAAGAATTTGTGCTAGCATCCCCAAATGGACTCAACTCTAACCCTTGGGCTAAATCCTCTTGAGTTCTACACAACTTTTACATCCCCCCTTTTCACATGCCTATGACACACAATGAAACAGACTTTACAAAGTGCCATTACCAAAAATGTATAAATACAGCCCAATACAAACTTTGACTTGTGTTGCAGCCTGAACACACAAAAAAAGCAAGCCAACTTCCAATGTGACAAAACCAAAATTATATCTTCCAAATCCAAAATGAAAACATTATTGGCACATAGAATTAGCAAAACTCACTTTATCTTTAATCTAAACCTCATAAGCCAGAGGCAAAATAAAGTCAAGAGAACAACTAAATGCAACCGCACCCTTGTCCCTAGATTAAAAGAATACTTCTGAGCACGTAAGAATCCGTAATTAAGCTCAAACTAAACCCACACCAAACATGCATGAATCTCCAGTACTTACTCTTCATGATTGTCAGTACCCTGAACGGTTGATTGAGTGTGATGGCTAGTCCAATCGCCTTGAGGTATTTCTTCTCATGAAGCAAATTAGATAACTCCTGTTCCCTATGATGAAATGTAATTTAATTTCATTCCTTATGCTATTAAGTAAATTTTTGTTAAATACATTTGAGAGTAAGTCAGTCATTTTAAAACGGCATCTTTGCTGACAGTTTCCAGTGTTTGTGTTCAGTGCATTGCGTGCATAATCCCTGTACTATGAAATTGACTCACTTCAAGATCTGGTCTTCCTCTTTCTCCATTTCCTCTTCTTGTTCAATTTCTGTAATGTCCTGTGCAAAGAAGCCAAACCAAATTCAAGCATTGAAAATATGTCACTCATTATGGCTTCATACATGAACTTGAATTTGATATTTTGAACAAAGTCAAATTCACTTAAATTCTGTACCAATCTAGCCTTAAAAACGCGTAACAAGGAGACCAAGATAGGTACATTGGAACTAAGCACGCTCTGGTTAACTGAATTAAATAAAAACAATTAATGACAGAATATGGATCAGGGGATTTCAGTAAAGGGCTATAAAGCACCTTTAAAAGGGTACTATACTATAATGACACTTTGGATGTCCTTCGTTCAAGTCCTGGTTTGATCCATTTTGCCATGCATCCCAATTTATTCAACTCTCCTCTGAATGCCACAACAAAACTTTCATTTATTATTCTGAGGCAGGTTTTACCTTCCAGATGAAGATGTTGGAGTCTGCACCACCACTGACCAGCAAATCCTGCCCTCTGTTGGCAGCCAGGGCCCAGACTTTCTGGGTGTGCTCGTCAAACGTCTTGACACATTCATTAGTCTTGATTGTCCAGAGTTTCAGCAGTCCATCAGAGCCACTTTAAATGTGAACAAAAAAGACCCCCCCCCATTTTTTTTTTAATAGGATCGGGGTGAAATTCACATTCTTGCCTTGTGGGTAACACTGCTTTTTCAAAAAGAAGGTGCCAGTTAGCTTTACTTTTGATTCTGCCTGTGTTTTCTTCCTCTAGCTCCGCCTCCCTGTAGAACTTACCACGATACTAGCTGCATTCCTCTTGAAAGGAAATTGACTTTCAACACCGATGCATCATGTCCCTCAAATGTCTGTAGGAAAAAAATAGCAGGTTTTTAAACACTGGCATTTGATGGATGGGCACTGGATAGAGGATACCACTTGACGTAACGACTAAATGACATGTGGCATACCAAAATGTCAAATGTTGATTTTTTATTGAAACTATCTGTACCTTGACACAGCTGAAATCTGACAAGGCCCAGATTCTGATAGTTCCATCAGCTGAACTTGTTGCCAGGGCCTGTACAAATAAATAAATCCAAAATAGTAGTTAACGGAAACGAAACCAACCAAGTACAGGCCAACTTACATTTCATTGGGAAAACAACATCATACCTTTTCTTCCAAAAGGAATCATTGCCTTCAAGGTGTTACATTCCATTGAAATTTCTGAATAATTTATAGCTTTGATGACTTTCAAACAGACCTGATCCGTGGGTGAGAACTGCACACACCAAATGCCACGTCTGTGACCCCTGAATGACCCTAGACTTGTCTCTTTTTCAAGGTGCCACAGTCTGGCTGTCCTGTCTTGAGAGCCTGTTGCCAGGAGTTTGTCATTTGGTGAAACAGCAACAGAATTGATGTCCTGCAACAGAAAACAACAGAAAAAAGTCTTATTCATATTGCGTGAAAATCTTCATTATTTGTATGATCCTAAAGATCTAGCTTTACTGCTAGAACTGTTTGTTAGCCTAATTATATCTTGTGGTTTCCCTTCAATCTCTTGCCATATGGCATTAGAAAAGTTACGGTCCCTGACTGGCACCCTGCCACAGTAAAGACAAGTAACTTAAAGCATGTGAACATAAAGCTGGACAACTGAATTAAGCTACATCCAAAGTCAGGTCTACAGCAAGCATTAACACTTGTGTCTATGGTAAATGGATCATAGCCACTAGCCAGGGACTTCCACTGTGCAGATGGTATTCCATTTCAGAGCCAATAGTTTGGAAGGAAATCTTAATTGAGCATGGTAACAGCAATTAGTCAAATCTTCCCCACTGGTCTGATGAAAAGCACATAAATATTGAGGAAACCTCCTTTTCAGAGATGGAATCACTTACCTTTTCATGAGCACGCTCAGTGAACTTCACCTGAAGTGGAGCAGGCGCTGTGTCTTTCTCCGTGGGTAGATTTGATGGAATTTTCCATACTTTGATTGTGCAATCTTCACTACCACTTACAAAGAACGAGCTAGATAACCTATACAAGTGGAAAGTTACATTATTTAAATTTTACACCAATCTTTACAATAAGTTTATAGGTATTTTTTTTTTCAGAGACATTTTGTACCATGCAAACACATTTTCACTCCCCAAACTAGATCTTAGTTAAACAGCTCGTTAGCAGTCTCATTGACTCAAACTTCACTGACCAAGCTTTTACCAGCCATTATAAACCTTTTCAATTTCACCAGCACAGCACTTGCACAGAAAAAAAATTGGGTAAAATTTAGACGTGTTCATATGTTTGGAAAAATCAGCACAGCAAACTAATGATTACCTTGCAGTGGTCAAAGCACCCACAGAGTGGGTGTGTCCCTTGCCAACTGCTACGCAGTGCACTGATCCTGATGCTGGATCCATACTCCATAGACGAACAGTGTTATCCTTCAAAATAAGCCATATTACAGAATTTAAGACTCGGTAAATGAACTGCACAAATTTGACCAGCAAATAGACCAAAGGAAATGGAATTGGACCTGAAAGGAGCCATTTGATTCTAAAGATTTTACAAAAAGCTCTTTGGAAATCTTTACAATACCAAAAAAATTGGATTTTAATACCCTGCACTCATCACAAAGTAAAAAATAGCATTCCTACATGTACCTTTGAACTGCTGACTAACATCAGTCCATTTTTGAAAACTTCGAGGGCTAGGACAATATCTGTAAATGTATTCACATAAAGATAAAAAAGGAGTAAAAACAGAGATGTTCCATACCAAAACTTGCAGTCTTTACATCCAAAATGACCAACACACTACAATCCTTCAAACTGGGTTCAGGACATGTTCAGTGGCAACTGACCTGTGTGGCCTGGAAGGATCTGGCAGCTGAGGGAAGAAAGGTCAAACACACGAATCTGCTCACTATTACTGGCCACAGCAAGGTGTGTGTCCTTCTCCCCCATGAAGCAAAGGTCTAAAATCTCCTCATTGTAGCCAACAAACTGGGGGAAAAATGACAGCCTCAAAACAGCAAATGCATTTATCACATTAAGTGACATCAAAATTCATGCGTCAAAAATTGTATCATGGTACTTTTTATTCACATTTTCTCATTTTTTTAGATTTTTCCTGAACCATTTTTGTACCATTATTGTTCATACTTTTGTGGGTGTAAATGTAGTTATGTAAACAAGTGTTTACATACCTGTTTCTCTAAATCAAAGTCCTTCAATCCAAACATCAGGATGTTGTGATCATAAGTAACCACAGCAATGACTCCTAATGTACTACAAAGCATGGCTTGGTTAATGTGGGTTGCTAGCTGCTGTTCTTGACCTTTGACCTGACCTTCAGTATGTGTCTGGTGGGGGAGTTGCTGCCGCTGGGTGAAAACACACTTTGCAGTGGAGGCATCCCAAACTTTGAGTAAACCTGATAAAGAAAAGTTTGGTAGCACTGATATGTAAAAAAAAAAATGCTCAATTTCTGTATGATCTTTAATGAAACTCTCAAATAGAGGCTTTCATTGACATGACACCATAATATGGCCGTTCAATGGACGAGCTATGATGGAAAATTTTGTAAAAAAATTACTTGGGTGGGTGGGATTATTGGGTTGAGTTTAAGTAGGTAAGGTTCAACTGGCTTTAACACTTTGACTGCCGACTCGTAGTCATGCGTGTACCAAATTCTGCCACAACCAGTATACTCGTAGGAAATCAAAGGCTATTGTAACGTAAATTGAATACACTGGCATCACCGAAGAGCTCAGCAAATGCGCTGCTGGCAGTGTGGGGGACATCCATCTGTAAAATGCTCAAGTACAAGCACACACCAGAAAGGTACGTATTAAATATGCGCGCATACATACAACGCTTGGCAAATGGGAACGCTCCTTTAAACTTGTGTGCAGCAGTTAGAGTGGATAGGTCGAGCTGAGTTGAGGAGTTGAGTGTGGCTGAGAATTGTTGGATGGGTAGGGTTGTAAGTGAGTTGGATCTCAGTGGGTCATGTTGGATTGGTTGTGCTGCCCTGGGGAGTTGTGTTCCATTGGGTTGGGATGAATCGGATTTGGCTTGGATTTGGATTTGGTTGGACTAGGTGGTGAGCTTGGGTTAGGTTTGGTTGTATTGGGCTGAGTCAGCAATGAATTAAAGGAAATTTGAGTTCAAGTCTGTTTGCTTGTAAAAAAGTTTGGGACCCCTGGGTAAGAAACTTCATTTCAAAAATTCCATAAATTTCTAATGGACGTTACCTTGAGATCCTGCTGTGATGAAAAATGTATCCTTGCCAGTAATTCCAACCTTACTGCAGTCAGTGTCAGATGGAGGCACAATTACAGACTCCAAAGGCTGTGGCGAAAAAAATTAAGGAGTCTTTCTAAAGGCTTTAGCTCATCACTAAATGCAAATTGCATGAAAACCAAACTCATTAGCTTCTGAATGCCATTTGTAAACCAAATTCACTTCAATTCCGCCTTGAGTAACAATTTACAAATTTTAGAGCAACAGAGATTGCAAACCTCATACACTGGAACTGTTTTCCTGACTGTGTAGGAGCCCAAGTCCCAGACCGTTACAATGCTATCCCTGCCTGAGCTGAACATAGTCTGGCCATCCTCTGTGAAGGCAAAGCCAGTAACCCCACTGTAGTGGCTCTCCAAAACAGCTTCACACCTGAAAGAAAGATGGGGACCAGTAAACATTTCCACAAAGAACAAATACAACAGATGGAACTAAAGTAATGAAGTAAGCACTGATTCTGACATGTCAGAGAGCTGACTGAAAACACTACCATTTTGATGTTTGAATTACCTGCTTGTTTTGAGATCCCAGACTCGGATTTTGCAATCATCTGCTGCAGAAAAGAGCAAAAGCTTCTCTGACACCGGATGGAAGTCAAGCACGCTACCAAGAAAGCAAGAATTGCAAATGTATGAGTGATATATCTGTAAATGATAAGGTTAACTCTTACAATTACAAATACAACTTTATAATTATTAAATACAGGCATTAAAGGTAGGCCTACAGATTTTCAGCAAAACATCACTTCTACATCTTATGCAAATAAAGATAGTCAAGCCACGAGGCCAAGTCACAGTCGTACCAGTGAAATGGCTATAGCTCATCGCTGATGTACAAGGCTAAAATGGTAGCATAACATGGAAGTTGTACCCAAATGTCAATCCCAACAGTCCTTAACCCTCCAATTTCAATGTACAGCCTAGGGGGTTAGGATGAAGGAAATGACTAACCTGACTACTCCCTGAGAGCCCTTGAAATTGTGGGTACAATACTGTCGTACAATGTCCCATAACTTGATGGTGCTGTCACTACTTCCAGTGGCTAGAAGGGTTGAGGTGGCATCAAAGGTCATGCTGACTACAGGGCCAACATGGATTGCCTGCAAAAATACATACCTTCATTTCATATTCTTCATATAGAACATTAACATAGGCTTCCACTGTTTCAATGTTGGGTCCATTACTCACTCATCAAATGATTGAAGATAAAATGTAAGACATCTACCATATGTTGCCACTTTGGAAATGAATGCATTCTTTCAGTTGTATGATCCCGTCCACATTCACATTCCACTGAACAAGCTACAAGCACATGTACTTATGGTAATAGTTTAAATATCAAAATACATCTATACAACCAATTGAACTGTCATAATTCTACCCACCTTCCAGGTTCGGACGCATCTCTCCTCCCTCCAGTCCCACTGCTTCAATAAGAGGTTTCTATGGGCAACCACTAGAAACTGAAGGGAAAAAAAATCACCTTAACAAAGAAGTAGTTCAGAAGCCAAACAAATAATGCCGTCA